GACCTATGAGAGATTCTGACTCTTTGAGATCGGCAATTAAGATATGCTGTGAACCAGCTTACACTATTGTCATCAAAACCTAGGTGCTTCAGTTTGGCGATGAGCAGCTCGTGATTTACTAAGTCGAAGGCCTTACTCTGATCTAGCAATATCAAGATGGTGCACAGGGATTTATCATAACTGTGAGATATGTCATTTATAACCTTCATAAGAGCTGTGTTGCTACTGTATTTTTTCCTGTACGCTGATTGGTAAACGGGTGTAATGTGGGAATTTTCAAAATACCTCGTAATTTGAGAAGCAATAATTTTTTCGAATACTTTTGCAAATGGAGATAATAAAGATATGGGGCGAAGGTCGTTGTAAGTCGAGGGATTGGTAACTTTTACTAAGGGGATAATATCAGCCGTCTTCCAAATTTCTGGACAGATTCCATTACGCAGGCAGTCGTTAAACAGTTTTAAAACAACATCTAAACAATGTGGGATTATCAATACTAACATTGTTAAGTTTATATGATCGGGTCCGTAAGCTTTCGATGAACTATTTTTAAGAGCAGTGTAAATATCATGTTCAGTGATTTCATTAAAAGTAAACGTAGTGTTTTCACACCTCATTGTACCGTTGAAGAACCGTATCACATTCGGGTCAATTGTCGAATTTTCAGCAAAATTTAAAAAATACTCGTTGATAGCCGTAGGATTCTGTAGTTGGGCAGGCAGCTCGACTCTAGTGCTCCTTTTGGTGCGTACACCCAGTTTTTGTAGATGATACCATTGTCTATTCGCATTACTTTTATTAGAATGCAATATGAACTGTAAATATGCTTTTTTTCCCGCGATATCGCTGACTTGACGTAATTTCGTAACTCGCAGTAATATCTTCGACTTACTTCTGTTCGGTTTTTAAAAAAATTCTTATGACAGTGGTAAACGCTTTGCAGTTAAAAAAATTTGGTTTGTTGTTTGTTAAACATACGAAAATTTACACATAGACCGCTCCATAGCGAATATGAATAAAAGTATGTCTGACGATAATAAGAACCGTATTGTGGAAAGCGAGAGCGGTTGCCACGATCTTTCCGAACCTAATAGTTTCGTTCCGTTTAAAGCCGAGAACGCGACAAAAATGTAGGTTTATTATTGGTTTAAAAAGGTACGCTAGTCCAGGTCCTTGAGTTCAGAAAGTAGCTCCCGTTTCAGAACTTCTAATTGGCAAGATTTAAAAAGCCAACGATGACGAACTACGTGAGGTACGCTGAAATTGAATTCTTAATGAAGTTCCGAGCGTGAGCCCGTACCAAATTGGGGAGCGACCACGTACAAATATTGGCGTGTAAAAAAATTTACCTGCAATTTTATGTGTGCGAATAAGCGAATTAGAGTAAATTTTGGGCTTTTTTATTTTGTGGTAAAATATACGCGAAAGAACATTTTCAAATCGGAGAACCGCTTTGCAAATAAAAAGCGGGATTAAATTTAAATTGACACTAAACTCACTGTAATAAACAAAGAAGTTTTTTCGGATCGCCAAATGTAACGGCTGTTTCACACCTTTAAGTTTAATTAATTAATTAAAACATTCTTATAATTCAGCAAGGTGGGAATGGTCAACAAGATTCCTGATATTTTGGGGATCCTCAAAAATTCCATACCTTTACAAGATTTTAATTTTTCTCTTGTCAGTGCTCGCTTGGCTGATAAGATATAGATTTCTCTCTGAACATAAGTTTAATATTATTTCCGAAGAAAAATCAGATACTTACGTCCGTAATTTTAACTGTCGCACATTCCGTAAACGGCGGTGGGCCCTTGCCGAACCATATTAAGTAATTGATAAACAATCCAATATACAACGAATAGTAGAGGCTAAGTAGACTAATTGCTCCGAACTTGACGTAACCCAATCCTAGAAACACAAAAGAAAAAGTATTATGCATAAAGTTGAAAGTATAAAATTTACGCTTTTAATTGCGCGGAATTCGTGTAACAAGTAATCTTTTTAAACAAATGGAATTTAAAATATTATAAAAGTTAAAGTAAGCGAAACGCATCTACATGCATTAAGTGTCTACTTAAGCCGACGACCGAAAATTGCTGGAAAGTGATACCATTTTAGGTATTTTGAACAAAACACAAATTTCCATTCTATTTACTTTACTACAAAACATCAAAATTATGTAAATCTAACCTCGTAATTTAAACGCGTTCGAGCTATACCGTTGCACCAGTTTGATTCCGTTTTTAAGGACAATGCAGATAATCAAACCAACCTTGAGAAGATCAATCAGAAGATCAAGATAAACTTTCGTAATTGTATTAGCAAACGGAAAAGTTACACAACCCAAATTCTCCCGTCATTTCCTGTATACCGGTCAATTGTTTTACACGCTTAGGTAAATATTTGCTTTATTTGGGCTTAAACAATTTATGTAGCGGAAGACGGCAGGTGTCTTTGAACGAATAAAGTCTTCCTCTTACCCTAGCATAGCATTGTAATTGTTGTAAAACAATAGACGACGTTTTGTTTCCTAATTATACAAGGTGTTACATTTAAAAAATACCAACGACCCATCTCAGAAACAGTGGTCCAAAAATGTATCTTAACTATGCAGTTTTCACATTTTTTCTATCTTACATGGCACATGGGTAGTAAGATATGATACCCATATAGCACCATTCGTCCACTAGACGTCCTTTTTGTACGTACACGAGACGTTTACGTAGGGACGTCTTATGTACATACGAGCATAGTTGGTATAATTTGTATTTTGTAATAACATTTGTTCTTATGTCTAATTAATCAGAAATAAGGAATCTTACATGAATGAATTAGGATTAAAATTTGATTTAAGCTACTTTAGTTCCTTTCTTTTTACCAGTAAAATGGCCGCTGAAAAGACAAACAGCTGACAGAGTAAACAAGATTTCAATGTCTCTATATTTTTTGCCTTTTTCTTCATAATAGCACGTGGTGCCGTCACACCTGCCTTTATTCGACCATATATGTACAGTGTACGTACATGTTGGACGTAACTGGGATGTACAAATTAGTGCAAAACAGACAAATTATGTACGAAAAACGAACGTTCAGTGAACGAAATGAGGACGTACTATGTGTACGAACATATGTCCAAGCGATGCCGTCCATTGGACGTCCATGAGTCAAACTTGTGTAACATCCCAAAGAGCCAAACTTATTGTTTCTGTATCTCGGAAACAAACGTAGCTAAATTGATTCTGTTTGCGGTATTAAAAATTTCACAAAAAAGTGGCAAAGGATCGCCTTAATTTTTATTACAGATTAACGACCGTGGCGGGAGTTTGTTTGCGGAAGTAGGTGTTGAAATTAATTAGGTCAGTAGGTACCAATCTACCAGTGGCGTTACAGACAGCTGGAAGTAGGGATCACGAAGCTAAACAAATTCAGAAATAGGATTGAATTTTATAACGGCCAGTAGAAGCGTGAAAAAAAAATTACGAAGGGGTGTCCAAAGTTGTGATTTTTCTTGGAATTTAGGGTTGATATTTACAAACTTTTTGAAAAAAAAGTAGGTTTATATTATGGTATATGGAACTACGGCCAGGATTTAAGCAGCATACAAAAAAATTAATTCAAAATGAAATAATACAGAAGGAGTTTGGAGGAGGTAAAGCAACTCAGCACAAGAGTATATCAAGAAGAAACCAGCCACATCCAAAATAAGATGATCAAAGAAGTTCAAAGGAAGATTCGACTCCGACTCGCCACTTCAATGTAACAGGTGGCCGCTTTGCCGTTTCACAAATTTAGTTTTAAATTTGTATTTTGTTCCAATATTGAAAAATTTACCCCTTCATAGCGAACATGAGTTAAAGTATGTCTGGCGATATCAAGAAACGTATTGGGGAAAGCGAGTTGTGGACAAAGTCGAACTGCGGGTTTTCGATTGGTTGTTAGGGCACGCCAATCGAAGTCATTACGTTCAGAAGGGAAGGCCCGTTTCGGTTTTTCTAGCTGGTTAAAAGCAAATTCCTTAAAGTTGAGTGACTTAATTGGATAACGCATTGTGCAATAAACAAAAAATTGGTATACAACGGAACACGGCAGGGAATTTAAAGACAATTAATCGGTACATTTTGTCCGCAACAAAACCTAGTTAATAAATTGGGCAAAATTAATACACAGCGGAACATTGGCATTTTATTGCTTTGTATAATAACGATGTCAAGTCTTACTTTTGCGAAATTGAAGCCAGTTTGCTTGGATTCGGAATTCATACGAACTATTCTTCACCAAACCAAACTTGCATTCATCACGAAGATAACGTGTCCAGGGCGGTACAAAATGTCTACTATAGTACTACTTATACCATCAAAGTAATCTATTTCCATGTTTCTAAAGGAAGCGGTATTTTCCAATGAGGGCTAAAATCAATTGTTACCAGAAGAGATTACCCACGTCAATTACTGTACGTTATATGAAATTTTTTTGAATTATATAAATTGCAATTTTGATATTCCTAAAGGAGCCGACCCGTGAATATTCCAAACAAAAGATTTGGGTTATTTTGTTTGATTGATTAGAAAAATGCATTTAATTTCAGTGATACCATTCCTTTGGTTGGATTAAAATTGGTATGTGTATATTTTGTACAGGAGAATGTACCAGTAATTTATTGTGATAAAGATGACTTTTAGATAAGGATCAAATACTGAGCTAGCCGTGGAACAAACATTAATCGTAATTTTTTGGCCAGTGCCGTAGAGATTCAATTTTATTTTATGCAAGTAAGGTCTTCGATCCGTATAAATATAACTAAGCCGTTACACTACGCCTCTTGCCAGCTCAAGTTTGGAAGTGACCACGTCTGATATTGAGTCAATAAATCCAATTATTTGCACCCGCCAATGAAGGCAGGTTAATTAGTTTGGTAGCAAAATACAGTGATACCTGTTGAAATCCAAGTAGTTGCTCAAACAAAATCTGAATAGGAAGAAAAGATCAAAGAAAAATGTTGCGACAGTTTCCTTGAGAAGGCCGTTCATTGACTGCTTTTCCTCGACATGTACAAAATAAACCAAATGCAAATGTGGGTATACTGTCTTAAAATAAAACGGCGACAGAACTCATTTAAACTTTTACAAGAAGAACGGGCTCAATTCAGTTAATTAGTAATTGCAGCCGTATTTGGTATTTTCCAACTGCAATATTTCTCAATTACTTCTTATTCTTATGTCACAATGCAAACAGTAAAATTAAATCAACGTTAATTGTCCAATTGAATCACGTCCTTCATGCCTATAAATACACGCAGTTCAATTAAGCGGATACAAGCAAAGTAATTAACTGAATCAAACAGAATGACAACACGAGTGTAATTATCTAAACTAGACAAAACAAACATTAAATAAACGCGTGCCCATTACGTTGTTCACTACTTACCGCGGAAGATCGGAACAGCTCTCCAAATTTTGATGAATCCCTCTTGGGCCAACTGTCCTAGGCCCAGCTCGAGGAAGAGCAGCGGCAGCCCGATGAATAACGATAAAATTATGTAGGCCACGAGAAACGGTAAACCGCCTCTGATTAGTGTCGTTTGTGGTAGCCTGTATAAATTGCCCAAACCGGCGGCCAACGATATGGTGCAAAGTATGGTCTCTGCGCACACGAAGCATGACCAGCAAGCCTGAAAAGAAACCATACGTTAGTTTTATACCAAGTTCAAACTTTGACACGCACTGTACATATTGGCCATGTTATTTCTATCGATACTTTACGAACTTCTAGTTTTATGTCACAGTTCATTCAAATATAGTGTATTGGGCCAAATTTGCGGGAGTATTAACGAAGTAGGTGTGGGCGCCAAATATAAATATGAGATGGTAAACTCGGTTAATTGGAACATGCGTGTTTTTGATTAGGTTTGTTAATGAATTTGCACTTATACTAGGCAATAGTAGTGCGAGTATTGCGAGCAGGTTCTGTATCAAAAACATCAAAAAGTCCGAGAAAAAGTCTGAACGTCCGGTCGGTCGTCCGCCCGACCGTTCGCGCGATAATTAAATTTTTTTGAAATCTTTTGTATAGAGTAATAAGAACACAGGCGAAATTTTACTCAGATTTTAGTTGTTGAAATGATCTTAAGGGTGATTTCCCAAATAAAGTGCTTAGAGTTGAATTTCTGTAGGGTTTTTCGGTTTTAGGGGTTGACAGGGTGGTTGCATTGTAGGACAGGTTTCTCCAAAATTTGGTTGCACTAATGGATTTAAGTCTATGCTTTCCGGATACAGCACTGGCCGATTAATTGCTTGAGAAAGTTGGTCGAGCCAGTCTGGCGGGAGATAAGGCAGAATTAAGGGGTTATACGCGTCCGTTTCATGAGTTGGATCCGTTTCGTATCGCTTACGTTGAGGATGATGCCGTGGTTTCTAGATCATTGCTTTTCTAAACGTGGGATTGGTAATGGGAGATGAAGTTTGTTGGTTAAACCAGTAATGAGCCGTGGATGCCATTAGCAACCATTTTGAAGGTGTGATTGTAAAATTGGTAAAAGTGGGATTAAGATAGAGAATTTCGGAGGGCATTATGCGAGTAGCCGCAAAGCAGTACGGTTGAATTCTCTGCTAAGTCGTGAAGGCTTTAAGTTGGCAGCGGGATAAGAAAAAATTAAGTTTGAGTTAGACCGGGCAAGAATAGAGAGCGCAGTGAAAAAAGTTAATTTAGTCATGGAGTGCCAAGAAGATCGTGGGATTACAAAAAGTGGTGCCAAAGTTTCAGGGTGGTTTTAGTGCGTATTACGTGAATTCGGATCGAGGCAGCCAAGTTAAATCGATCAGCGGTAGAACAATTGGCAGAAATTACGTGTATAGCCAGTACCGATTTTCACCTAAAGAAGAATTTTCCGGTTTACAAAGAAAAATTGTCATTGACTGAAAATATTAATACAGGAGCGTAGTGTTTCAATTTTTCCTTCTCTTTAGATTCTTGACGTGCTTGCATTTGCATCCATCACATTCTTCCGCAAAACAAAAATAAGAATCATAATTAAAGTTGTTCTGACAAAGTTTAGATTACATTGACTACCTTCACAATAAAATACAGAATCATAATATTCTTCAAATTCTTCCGTTTCTTCGAATACTTTATATTCCTCAACTTCTTCAGACATTCCTAACATTTGTCGGGTTCTCGCAGTTCTCGCGCTCGTTCGAATTCATCGGATTTTTCAAATTCTTCATAATTTCCAAATATTTTAAACTTCAAATTCTTTAAATCCTTCGAATTCTCCCATTATTAAGCTTCTTCCAGTTCTTCAATATCTCTTTAGATTCTTCACATGCTTGGGATTCCCCGGCTCCAGAAACATCTTCAACTATTTAAAGGTTTCAGATTCGTCAGTTTCTTCCGAGCTTTAAAATTTGCTGAATATTTTCAATTCTTCAGACTCTTAGCGTTGTTGATTTTGTCATATTTTTTAAATTCTACAGATCTATTAGATTTTTCCTTCACATAACCTTTCTAGATTGTCCTCAACAATGCCCATAGTGGTCCTGCGTATATTCTTAGCGCATTTTCCGGTATTGTTGCCACTTTCTCTGTCTGTCCGTCCGTTCGTCTGCCCGTCCGTCCGAGGCCTTAACTACTTCTTCCAATATATTTAGTTCTTTTTGAATTTGGTAGCTTATAGCTCTAGCACCTGAGCCAAGAAAAATCTTGACGATTAATATGCGCATGCGACATATTTTTAAAATTTTAACCGCAGATGCGTCTAGTAAAAACAAACATGTCGCATATTGCGCAATGCAACATTCTTAATTATGGAGGTATTTTCTTTGAAATTTTAACTATAGATAGTAAAGGCAAACATATCGCATATTTTAAAAATCAGATGTGCGCATGCGCAAACAGCTCAATGTCAACTTTTTTATTTATAGAGATATTTTTTGAAATTTGAACCAAAGATTGTAACGTTTTCTCGCCAATTGATATGACCGATTTGGATTTCGCTTAAGTAGCCCTTGCTCTGTGCTCTTATTTAAATTACTTGGCATTCTTACGCCATCTAGGTATATTCTTTGTAATCCACTAGTTTAGATGTAAATTATTTCTGTAGTAGATTTCTCATTTATTATTATTATTCTCGTGATTTCTTATTGCCATAGTTATTAGTTTCGCCGACGGAAGTCGTCGCCATTCCTTCTTTAATTCAATATTGCGCGCAGTTGTAGTTCTCTTCCTTTTCTGCCTTCGAATTGATTACTTGCGAGTGTCTCTTGATACGCCGTTACTCTTACTGGCTTCGTGCCATACCTCTTAACAGGGATTTATTGGCTTTACCATATTTTTCTTTCGGAGTTGCCTTTCTTTCTCTTTGATATCTTGGTGAGTCCATTGAGACGTTTTGCGGATTTGTGTTTGGTATTTGAGGTATGTTACATTATTGCACAGTATTTTTATTAAGACGTATGTTTTTTTAAGGTTTAACCTTCGCTCAAAGTTTCTCGTCGTTATTTCTTTTGGATTACCTTTTACGTTGACCTACTTGGATATTACGCGTTACCCACACAGTACGTGGATGATTTAGCATTTTTATCTGGACCCGCCATTTTAGCAAGTGACGAACGACGCGTGGATGTTTCTACATTACCGACTTCTAACGACATTAACCATGTGAATCTACTTCATTCTACCAATATTAGCACCTACTTCGAGATTTCGATATTTTTAATTCTTGTATCACTTTTCGATAAACAAAAACCTTAGTTACAAGATCTCTTATGAAACTTTTTATCCAATAAAATATACAGGGTGTCGCATTTAAAAACAAAAAGTTAAAGACATTTCAAGGAAGTCGAAAAAAAATTACAATTATTTATTTGTTATATAAACACTCCAATTATTAAAAACATTGCTTCATAAATAACGGATATAATCAACAGTTCTGGGACACCCTATATGTAGAATGTTACGTAGAATTTATAAATGAAGTAATATGTATGGGCCGTCAATCAAATTTGTGGTCAAAAGGGACAAAAGCTGAAAGTTGATGTGTCAATATTGCTCAGTAAGTATTTGATGGAGTTTTGAAGAACTGACCTTTTGTACACGTGAGAACACTGTACAGCAATGCATATTTACATGAACTGTACCCATTTAAGGCAGTTATCAATAACATAAATTATTAATAACGTTAACAAAAATCCTTATAAGCTCTAGATAGATGCTTTATCTCAAATAGATTCTAGTTCGTAAATACTAATGACACATTTTCCAAAAATAGAAGCCGCTTTACCAATAACAAAAGATTAAATAGATTTGATGTTTGAAATATTCAAAAGAAATCAAATGAGGAACTTTCCAAATTACATTATCGGGAAACCACCGGAACATCATAAAAGCACTCGGATGGAATGACACCAAAGTGCACCATTATATTTTGGGTCGTTACAATTAGCGCTCAATGCTAATTTTTTAGTCTAATGGAAAACTACTTACTTTTATTACCTTCCTGATATCTAAGATATGAAGATGCCACACTTTCTCTCACCCTCTACGCCTTTCCAAATTTTGATTTTGACATGATAAATGCAGTTGACTTCAAAACGTATTTGGGTCATAAAATTACCTGCACTTGCTAATTATGCTAATGAATTAAATAACGGAAATTTACGGTGTAAGTACATATTGGTGCTTTACCCGTACTAGATATGTAGTGACTGTGTCCTTTGCGCGCGTTTTGTACTCACCTTAAGATCGGTCACAATTTTCACACTAAAGCAATCGAGCGATTTCAAAAAACATTTGATTTTGAAACCAAAAGTGTTTCCGCCCGCACTTCGACGTACATAAAATTGCGGGGAGTACGAATAACATTCATAATCACAGGTCAATTTGTACGCGTTACTTTTCTCGTCATAGACCAAAATCATCACTGTGTCACTTCTGGTTTACTGGGCCAGTTACATCGTTTTTTTTTGAAGCGCGTCAAAAAAAAAGCAAGAAGCAAGGTAGTCGCGTCGTTAACGGTTATGTTATTAATGTATTGTTTTCATAATAAAGCGTAAAAGCGAACTGACTCGGAGCATATTGTATAAGAAACTCCCCTGCCCCATACGCACTAGACTGTAAAAAATAAGTAACCACAAATTCGTTTCAAATGCAACGTTAGTGTAGGTATATAAATATTACTTTCAAATTACTTCTAATTTAAGTTCGTATACAATTAATTGGGCTATTAAAACTTTTTTCCGGCTTTAATGTGCGCTTATTTGACAAACACGCTCTTATTTGGTTCAAGGATGTTTTCAGTTTAATTACCTATTCCTAAAGCACAATTTAAGGTTTAGTAACCGTAAATGGTAGATTGGCGGGTAGATACAGAAAGTGGCCCGGGCTCCGCAAGGGTCTGTTCCTGCCTTCATTGCAACTGCTAATTGGCACAATCTCGGTTATAAATATTGATGATGGTATTCCGTTAATAAATGGACGTAAACGTAAAATATAAAGTCAATCGTGTACCACAAAAGGGCCCGAGTAAGGCCCAGTACACACATCCGATTTTTTGACGCGCGGTACCGGGATAGGAGTTGCGGAGCAGTACGGCCAGCATACGTCACTTGTCGCCCGCATCTACGACTTTGTAGTACATACATTGTTAGTTATTGTTGCATACACACGGCATTTCAC